CCTGCCTCCTCATGTACTCCCATACACATCGCCATCACAGGTGTACCTCAACTCCCTCTGTGTTTGAATTCCTCCCTCATTGGCGCTGCCATGAGATACTTTGCAAATGAATATGTGCATGAAACACAAGGAAAAAGATAGTCAGTAAATTGGAAAACGAGGAAAGACACTCGCCATCTTCCTATTTCAGTAAATGCTTATACTGTTGTGATTTCTTACACTTTTCTCCCTCTAGGCGAGTGTATTAAAGCAGTATGTGTCTTTTCTGCTTTGTAAATGCCACCGGTATGCTTGAGTGAGGCTTAATAACGTGGTGGTGTTACAATCACTGCATTGTGTTGTCTTACAGTGAAACCAGCCATGTGCAATGTTTGATGCTGACATTTTCTTTTTGTAAAAGCATAAAGACAAGGACCTGTGTGGTCTCAGGATGATCACACTGACTCAACAAAAGTGTGGAGAGCTCAAATTCTTTTCCGTTGCATCCTGAAGGAGTGGAGTGATGGCTGCTGAAACCTAATCCACACAGTGGTCAGACTTGGCTGTTAAAATATAGGAGCTGACAGAGCCGCGTCACTCATCGAGTAACACTGATCATTTAAATACACAAAAGAACTTCCGAGCATACACCTCACCCCATTCCCTTTTCCCCGTTAACTCATTTCCTGTTATAATCACTGCCACCGAGTCTCAATCTCTGAACTCATTTTTGATGCTAATCACAGAATAAACAGCCGCGCTCGTTGGAGCAGAGGAAAACCACTTGCTTGACAGTGATGAGACACCAGGAGACAGTGAAGAAGAACGTTCCATAGATCTCAGATGAAGGTTCATCATTATAGCAACCCCATTCCAGCAAATGAACCACGATTACAATAACGTCGCCTAAACGCTGCCAGCTCAAGCAGAACAATCACATTTGGGGCGAGAACATTGGAGCGCCTCTTACACAGTGACCCCAGCCTTCTTCATCACTCACCTAGACTATTATAATCTGAGATTACGTTCCATTATAGGCCAGTGCTTTAAACCTTTGTCATTTAATCATGACCATCAGCTGAGCTAGTCTCTTGTGTCCTTTTGCAATAAAGCATCATCACTGGCGTTTCACCTCAAAAGATTGTATTGTTAAACAATACTAATCCCAATTTTTTGCATTCAGTTGCTCTCATTCTGCCTCCCTTGCTCATTTCTCCCAAACGCACACACACACACAAACACACACACGGCGCTCAAGTTTGAGTTTCTCTTGACTCAGCATTAGTGAAACCACAACCCTGCTGGCAGGTCGAGGATTGCACACGATGTGCTCAGCCTCAGTGGGACGTTTCCATGGCCTCATCGACGGATTTAAGTTAAACCATATTTCAGCAGCCAAGATGGATGCAATGTCACCACCTCCTACATCACACACACACACACACACACACACACACACACATGCAGGAGACCTAAGAACAGCATGGGGTCAGGAGTGAATGTCCACGATGCAACGCACGTTCACGTCCAACAGAAATAAAGGACAGATGCTGACTATTGCTTTTTTTTTTTCAAACCTCTGCCACCAAAACTTTTTCATTTGTTTTGCAACAACATTCAGCACCCCCACCCCCCCACCCCACCACCACCACCACCAACAACAACAACTCCCTCTCTCTTGTTTCTTCTCTTCCCCACACTATTAATCCCATAACACCAAACAGTGACTGACGCGATTCACAAGGCTTGTCTTTGTTGGTTATAAAGCCACGGTGAATGCATCTCCAGTTCTTTTTGTGCACCCGAGTGGACTCAAAGCAGAAGCTCCTCCTCTCCAAGGACCCTCCGATTACCTTTAAAATAAAGGCTGGGTGATGGGTGAGCTTCACTGATATGTAGGTGGAGAGCTAAGAAGAACGAAGAGGAGGAGGGTGATAAGCAACTGACTGGGAAGATCTACTGCTTTCTCTGACCAGCTTGCAATACCATGGGCCCACTGCTTAGCAACCAGTGGGTTGGCTGAACAGCAGAAAAAAATGCAAAGAAAAGTAGAACGACATAAAATAAAGAAAGGACTTGATTTGTAAACGCAGAAGGCCTGAACGCTGAACTAAAAAAGGCTCAGAGCTAAAACTTGCAGCTGCGAAGAACAAAAGCAGGGGTTGACAGGTGAAAGAAAAGACAAAGAGGAAACTTGCACGCTCTTGAACTTACTGACAACAAAAAAAAAGCAACCTTTTCTACATTCAGTTGAGCTGTACAAACAACACAAAGCAAACACACGTTTGAATATCACGGCCCAAATGATGATTTAATGTCTCAGCTTGTGATTTGTTGAGACCATTTCTTTTCACGTCCTATCATAACAAACCTCTGGCTGTCTGCAGGTTAATGCGTGTAAGAAAACTGTGAAAAGATGAGTCCCATTCAAAAGCAGCCCTAAAATGACACCCGGTTCTGCATTTAAAAAGTAATACATCTTAATCTGCTCGGTTATTCCACAAGTTATCAACAATTTTCATCACCTGAGCTGTAGCTGCTGTGAGTCATCACATGCATTCTTCAAAGAAGTCTTTTATTGAAGTTTCTTTATGTAGGTCAGGGAATCACAAGAAGCCTCATCAAATCTTCATGTATTGATGCTGATTTAGCACTTGATGCTAGACTGAATTAACTGGGCAAATACTTTTTGATTACAGCAATTAATCAGAATAAATCTCATTTTCTCTTTACATCATTATTAAATATTAATCAGTTAATGGAAACCAATCTTGGCAAGGCTGCAGCAGCGTACATTACACTGCACAGCCACAGCTCCGACTAAATGAACAAAGAAATGGTGTTTTTTCTACAACAAGGCATTTAATAAATAAGTAAATGGTGAGATTGTTTTTGTTTTACTAAACTGTAATATTTAAATTTTGTTTTAATTTTTTGTTGCTTTTATTTTCAAGAATGCGATTTCTAAATGATGCTCCCCACCTGTTTATGAGACAGAACCTGTAACTACCCCACCCCAACATGTCATTCATTCATATTCAGACACAACATTGTTTCCATGAGACATTTAACACATTAAAACTGTCATTTTGCTCAATTTACAACCAAATTATTCATCAACTTTTACCACTCCAGGTCGACAGGTTGATTCATCTGTTGCATGAGAGGACAATGTCACTCCCAAACTGCAGTTATAAAAAAATATAAGAGGCTTTCGGATTCATTCAGATTTGTTTTGAGTTCACTCAATCAAACATAAAGAATGTGTTTAAATATGACGGTGATTAATTGGGATCACAATAAAAAGTGTGAAAGTTTGGTTGATAATTACATCTCTGTTTAATTAAGAACTGTTGTATTTAATTTATCATCTTTCCATTGATACCATATCTAAAGGAACTTTAAAGTCAATAAGTGAAGCTGTTTGGAAGTATGTTTAAACTCTGTTCAGAATATTTTAAACTCGTTAAAGATAGTTATATATATACACATTTTGGGTTAACTTACCATCAGCTTGAAAGTACAATAATCCACTAACAAGGATGAGTGCTAGCGGACCCATAGTAGCATATTAAACATCCACAGCGGGCGCGCAAATCCTCAAACTCACTGCGGGAAAAAAAAAAAATAATCAGCCAAGACTCCAGACCAGTCCGCTCCGGGTCCTGCTGTCCTGCTGTCGGACAGGTCCTACTGTCCTACTCACTGACTGGAGCCACTTTCAGTGTCCAAAAGCAGAGAGGATCCATTTACCAGCAGTTCACCCGGAGCTGCTCGGGGTGTGAAGCTCCAGCTTCTCTCCAAAACTCACGCGTCTCCCAGAGCGCTCCAGTTTGTGTTCTTTTCTTTTTTTTTCCCCAAACAAGCTGACCCACTGAGGAAGCTGCTCCCCACACAGAGCCTTTGAGGAGCAAAAAAAAACAGAAGTCCAAGCAGGGAGACTACAAGACTTCCCCGCCAGCTCCTCGCTTTCCTCGCGCAGCGCGGCACCTCTCAAACCTTCAGCGACGTCTCTCCATGACTGAACCAACGGCTCGGCAGAGCCTGGAACCACGAGCCTTCAACTCTCACACTTACCCCCCCCAAAAAAAGTTGCTTAATTACAGCCAGTGTGTGACCCATGTGTGCTTAGTTTGGGATTCGGCGCTGGGGGTGTACAGTCACTCAACAGTTCATCCTGCTCGCGCTGCGTTGTGGTTGGAACAGCGCGGCCGCTAGGAGCGCACGGACTCTGCGCACCGGCACAGCCCGCAGCGCACCAGTGGCGCACACACAGACCTGGACCCGAACACAGCCGCGTTGAGGGGCGGTAAAAAAAAAAAAAAAATGCTGCTTGAAGACAGTTTGGATCTCAGTAGTTTAAAACAATGAATACAAAAGTGATAAGATAAGAATGGGCAAACCCATTTTACCCCAAACGCACAATGTTTATATCACAGCACGAGCACTAAACTGGCCAATATCAAACACAAAAAGTTACCTAAAATGATTTACTTTGACCCATATGTTTAACGGTTGCAGTGTACACGGTGGCATATTAAACCCAAAGAAGCACAAAGTCAACAAGTACATTATGTTGTTATAAGTTATGTTAATTATATTATTCAGGTCTCTCTTGTAAATGAGTCCTCGAGGCTCAATGGGATTTACCTGTCTAAATAAAGGTTGAATGAATGTGTTAACACAAAGAGAAAATGGTTTTTCTAGGCATTTTTTTTTTAAATCTATTATCATAGAATCTGCTAAATGACTAATCAATAGACTCAAACATAAATGTTTTAGGGAATCACATGCTGGTTGGTGAGTGAATGTTAATGTGCTGAGAGGCTGAAGCAGAATTGTAAATATGATCTTTGTCAGAAATCAATGAGTGATTGACCGAGTCTCTGCGCCAAGACGCGGAGAGATGCAGCGCTGCATATTAACAACAAACCCACACATGTCTTTATTTTTTTTTCCTTTAGAAGCAAGATGCCCAGAAAGATAAATTGCAGGAGCAAAAGCACTACAGCATCAATACAATCACAGATCAATTAAAACTTTAATTCAGAGTACATAAAGATTTGGATGCAAGCTCCTGATGGTCAGATGGAGAGGAGGTTTGTGAACTACTGTCTAACATCATGAGTGATCTGTTGCAAGGATCACCAGAGTTAGATATGAACTGTGAGCGCCCCCTACTGGTGACAGTTATATGGGTGTTGTCACTCCTGTTTCATTACAACCCAATTAAAAGGCATCCAGAGCCAACACTGATCTGATGAGCAGTAAAAATGTTTAAAGTAAAAAAAAAAACTGTGGCCTTGAATACATGCTGTTAACTTCCTGTTAAAATAAGTAGAACATAAATGAAACGTCATCACACCAAACAATTTTGCTGTAGAAAAATCCAAGTTTACATTTAAATAAAATTTGCCCATGTATTTTTTTATGTTATTTTTACTTATCTGTGGTGTTATTTTTTCTCAATGGTTAAATTGTTCCTCAGTCCCCATATTTACTCCCCCCCCCCCCCCCGCTATACTGTTATTTTAACTGATCTTCTTGTCTGCTTGTTTCTTGCCTTTCTTTTGTTTGCAGCTCATTGTGTTACACGCAACTGTATGAAAGGTGCTTTATAAATAAAATGTTCTATTGATAAGATTCATTGTGACACCCCTCCCACCCCAAAAAAAAAAACATGCTAAAATGTACTTTTTTTTTGTCTTTTCCAGAATTATTGCTTCATTTAAATATAAGTTTCTGCATCAAAGTTCATGCTCAATCATCAAATCCAATAATTCTCATTCCGGTCATCTGGACAGTTATTTTTTTTTATAGAGACGTTTCGCCCTCTATCCAGAGGACTTCATCAGTCTGAGGAGTTCCAGTTCCAGATGGAAGTCACTGCATCATTTTTCAAAAGAAAATAGTTCACAAGCTCATTGAAAGACGCAAGTGGTTAAATCTTGAACAGACTCAACAAAGGCAGGAGTGCAACCTAAACAAAACTCCTCGTTTCACGACTGACATCAAAGCCACGAGCCAGGTCCAAATGCTCCGTCATTGCATCTTTGTATTTCAGCTCCATCATGACAAAGTACAGCAGCTAACACCATGACAAAATGAATCAGGCAACTTGAAACACTTTTATCACCTTTCATAATAGCTTTGACTGCTCGTGGCTTTTCTTTCTCATGTTTGCTGAGCTGCATGCCAAAGCTTTGCTGTGTAAAAGGCCTGACTGGGAACTGCAGCGTGTCCATAGTTTCCTCGTTGGTTCCATGTGCACGACCAGGCGCAGTGATTTGTCGTCATATTTTAATATGTTTGTGAGCCGCACGCAAATGTTGTTTTCTCAGTGTCTCCACGGCGTCCTAGATTTTACCAGATGCATGGAGCCATGAACACATACATAAACAGCCAAACAGAAATTTATTGTCTCATCAGTGTTGCTGAAGGTTCAAGGCAAATAAAGGAGGGGGGGTTGGAGGGAATTGGAGAGAGGTCATTTACTAAGAAGAAAAGCCCACTTCAAACATAAACAATGGAGGCCTCATTGATGGAAAAGGAAGTAGAGTGTAATTCTCCCTCAAGCCCAGCCTTTTATTCCCCACTCTCAATCACTTTATCTGTTGCAGAGGCAGCGATATTACCCGGGTTTCTAAATATCAGCTCAAAGTGGATTTATTTTAATTAAACTGGAGGCTGTGTTTATTCAGGACACGGCATAAAGAAAATAAAAAATAAGATGAAAGGGCAAAGAAGTGGACTGATAACTCAGGCACCATGATATAAGTGTACGTCTTATTCCACTGTTCAGATATCCCCCCACCTCAAATCTTTTATTAGGTGGCATTTATAATATTACTGTCACACGGGGTCGTTCAAGGCTGATTAGTTGTTTTGATTAAAAATGGAGCACAGTCGTAAACACAAGCAGGTAAATGTGACGTCACCAAGGGCCGAACAGGGTGGTGGTTTGAAACAAATGCTTCAGAAACACTGACAAGAAAAAAACAACTTTTTTTTCATGCTTTTTTTCAGATTAGAGATAGAAAAGTTCAACAGATTTTAAAATAAATAACTTGCAATCCTTTTAAAAGTATTATTGCAAAGTATGAACTCAACCCTACTGATCTTTAACAAATGGTGCAGTTGGAGAAAGTGTAGTCCAGTAGTTTTCCCCATACACGAATATGCAATTCTGAAATGCATACTACGCACTTTGTGAAAACAAAGCACGCAGCTAAAGACACCAAACCAAGTCATGTGAACACATGACTGGCCCCCATCAGACCGGCTGTTTTCTGTGTAGGTAAACGAATATAACAGAAACAAACTAGTGTAGAATCTCAAACAAGACGTGTTCATGGAAATACTGCAGGGGATCTGCTGCTGAACGTAGGAAAAGAGACAATAAACAAGTAAAACTATCAAGACATAGACAATTAGACATTTTATTTAAAAAGTAGTTCATTTGTGGCACAGTGGCTCAGTTGGTAGAGCTGTTGCCTCTCAGTGAGAAGGTCGCCAAATCCAATACCGGCCTTTCTGGGTGGAGTTTGCATGTTTTCTCTGTGCATGTGTGGGTTTCCTCCCACAGACAAATGCATGCATGCTAGGCTGATTGGTAACTCTAAATTGTCCCTAGGTGTGAGTCAGAGAGTGAATGGTTGTCTCGTTTGTCTCTATGTGTCCCTGTGATGGACTGGTGACCTGTCCAGGGTGTCCCCCGTCTCTCGCACAGTGACTGCTGGATATGGGCACCAGTGACACCCCCCCCCGAAAATGAAGAAGTGGGTAAAAGATAATGGATGGATGGATGGATTTTAATTCAAACAATATGGTGGAGCATAAAAAAAACACTGAGGTTGACACTTTTACACACCACTTTGGTGAAAGTTCTTGATTAGGAAATTTACAATTTCAACATTTTAACTCCAACTTGGGTCCAAGGTGAGGTTCTGTGTCAAGTGGAGGAGTTCAAGTATCTCGGGGTTTTGATCACGAGTGAGGAAAGAATGGAGCGTGAGATTGACAGACAGATTGGTGCAGCATCTACAGTATTGCGGACTCTGTGCTGGTCCTTTGTGGTGAAGAGGGAGCTGAGCTGTAAGGCAAAGCTCTCTGTTTACTGGTTGGTCTACGTTCCTACCCTCACCTATGGTCACAAACTCTGGGTAGTGACAGAAAGAATGAGATTGTGGATACAGGAAGTTGGAATGAATTTCCCCCACAGGGTAGATGGACTCTCGTTCAGAGATAGGGTGAGAAGTTCAGTTATCTGGGAGAAACTCAGAGTAGAACCGCTGCTCCTCCACACCGAGAGGAGCCAGTTGAGGTGGTTCTGTCGTGTTCAGCCGTCAGGAATGTTTGAACCCACGTGCAGGAGGATGACAAGGACGCTCGAGGAATAAATAAAAATATATTTATTTAAACAAAACAAAATCAAAACGCTGACAGGGCAGCTACTCACAAATTAATCGGATGGACGGAACGGAAGGCTGAACACAACACCATAGAAGGACAATCCCGAGACAAAGACAAGACACCAGTGAACTGAATATATACACACACACT